GAATGGATTACACGGTGGTATTTTCCTGTTTCATAAGACTATGAACTCCATATTTTTGAATTTCCACGCCGGTGGAAACCCAAACAAAACACGCATTAAGAGGCTCTAATGACTGTGTCTCAATCTCGCAGCCCATTTCACCTCTACTTGTGGCTTGCATAATGTTAAGTTATTTTACATTCATCCATCCATCCATTCGCTTCCGCTTATCCTTTTCAGGGTCGCGGGGGGCGCTGGAGCTTATCCCAGCTGTCATAGGGCGAGAGGCAGGGTACACCCTGGACAGGTCGCCAGTCTGTCGCAGGGCCAACACACAGGGACAGACAACCATTCACACCTAGTGACAATTTAGATTAATCAATTAACCTATCCCCACAAGCAGCATGTCTTTGGACGGTGGGAGGAAGCCGGAGTGCCCGGAGGGAACCCACGCAAACACGGGGAGAACATGCAAACTCCACACAGAAAGACCCCGGCCTGATGGAGGAATTGAACTCAGGACCTTCTTGCTGTGCGGCAACAGTGCTAACCACCGTGCCACCGTGCTCCCATTAAAAAATTATTTAATATGAAGGCAATAGGCAGAGTGTTACAGGCATAGCCCTAAAGAATGTAGCCTCATGGGCAGTGTAGTCCATGCTGCAGGGAGAATGGACTGCCATACCCGTTATGTGTCTGTGAGCGAGGGAGGGAGAAAAAGGACAGTGGAAAAGTACGAGTTGTCAGAGCAGAAACGGGAGCTGGAAGCATGTATATTAATAATAGAGAATATATATATATAGTATATAAGTAAAGCTATTTTTCAGTACGAGCCCAGACACAGATACCGACGTATTAGCCAGAGGTCCCTTCTTACTACGGTTCGGAGCCGGGACCTGTTTTATATACGCGCGGAATAGTTTTCTATACGAGATCGCTGCAAAAAGTGCAGCCTTACCTAATGTCCACCCTACTGTTACTCATTTTATATTAAGATTTAAAAATCTAGTCGGTATTGGTATGGCGAGTAACCTTCAGTAAAGTAATAAATCACACAGCAATAGTACATTCATGTAATTGTAAAAAGCATGATAATATATTAGTAATCCAAAGTATTCAGAATACGTTACTCTCATTGAGTAACGTAAGGAATACGTTACAAAATACATTTTGGGGCATGTATTCTGTAATCTGTAGTGGAATACATTTTAAAAGTAACCTTCCCAACACTGCTGATCACTCCATTCAAAACTTGACAAGTTGGGGAAAAAACTCAAACTCCCAAGAACTTAAATAATGCCCAGGAAATATTTAAACAACTAATTATTAACTAAAGATGTATTTCCTGCATTTTCAAAATTCACATTTACAAATGTGGGCATTTCACTATTAAACATATTTACTTAGGGATCAATAAAGTATGCTGATTCTGATTATCATTATTGTGCATGAAATAAATTAACAAATGGCATGAACATTTTTACTACCAAGTACAAGTTTTACACAAGCTTGCACCTTTGTGTGAATGTTTTCTGAGAGAGAAAAGTAAAGTAGGCTCTTTTTACCTTACAATATAAAGTGCCTTGAAGCAACTGTTGTTGTGAAATGAACTGAATTAAACCAGATGCTTCTGAACTCATTTGAAAAACCACCTGCTGTATTTGACATAGATTGCCATGTTTGAAAAAAAACAACAAAAAACTAGCAACTAAATTGAAGCACGTTGAGCCTAAGAAGCAAAAAGGCTAAAAGAAAACTGTTCCTGCTACCTGATGCCTGGAAAGGTTATCTGGAAAATCATTTAAAACGTGCATACCACACTAAAAAAACTTTCTAGATTGTTTTCTAAATCTAAATTGTTATAGGAATTAGACAGTAAATGAACCCAATATACAATGGCTAATTGCATTATTTGAATTAACACTGCCCAATCAACTGTGGAACTCACCATGGTGGATATCTTTCATGTCAAGGTGCAGAGAGGACATGAGGATTCCTACAGCCTGAGAACGTTTATTGTTTAGGAGCTTAACAACCTAAAACAAAAATAAAACAGGAAAATCAGACAGGTTAGATGCTTTCATAGGAAGTGGAGTGTAACGTAATATACTATATGTAATCTAAGAATAAATTGAAAGAATTATTAAAAGCTCCAGAAGAGAAGGCGTTTGGAAAGGGAGGGGGGATGAGTGTGTGATGAGTAGTGTATATGTATGTGTTGCGTGTGCCGAGTTTAGTGAGAGAGTGTCCTTCGCCCTGCCAGGCTAAGTAAACAGTCTTCCAGCCAACCCAGGTGGCCTTGCATATGGGAGAGAACAGTCTAAACACAGTCTTATCAGGGTGTAGATTTGTTCAGCTCCACTTGAGACCGTACAGGGTGGGCCATTTATATGGATACACCGTAATAACATGGGAATGGTTGGTGATATTAAAGTCCTGTTTGTGGCACATTAGTATATGTGAGGGGGCAAACTCCTCAAGATGGGTGGTGACCATGGTGGCCATTTAGAAGTCGGCCATCTTGGATACAACTTTTGTTTTTTCAATAGGAAGAGGGTCATGTGACACATCAAACTTATTGGTAATGTCACAAGAAAAACAATGGTGTGCTTGGTTTCAACGTAACTTTATTCTTTCATGAGTTATTTACAAGTTTCTGACCACTTATAAAATGTGTTCAATGTGCTGCCCATTGTGTTGGATTGTCAATGCAACCCTCTTCTCCCACTCTTCACACACTGATAGCAACACCGCAGGAGAAATGCCAGCACAGGCATCCAGTATCCGTAGTTTCAGGTGCTGCACATCTCGTATCTTCACACCATAGACAATTGCCTTCAGATGACCCCAAAGATAAAAGTCTAAGGGGGTCAGATCGGGAGACCTTGGGGGCCATTCAACTGGCCCACGACGACCAATCCACTTTCCAGGAAACTGTTCATCTAGGAATGCTCGGACCTGGCACCCATAATGTGGTGGTGCACCATCTTGCTGAAAAACTCAGGGAACGTGCCAGCTTCAGTGCATAAAGAGGGAAACACATCATCATGTAGCAATTTCAAATATCCAGTGGCCTTGAGGTTTCCATTGATGAAGAATGGACCCACTATCGTTGTACCACATACAGTCTTGGAGGGATCCATCCAATGTGGGTTAGTGTCAGACCAATAGCGGTGGTTTTGTTTGTTAACTTCACCATTCACATAAAAGTTTGCCTCATCACTGAACAAAATCTTCTGCTGACCAATTTTTGTTTTGCCCATTCTGCAAATTCTGTGCGCCGATCTGGGTCATCCTCGTTGAGATGCTGCAGTAGCTGGAGTTTGTAAGGGTGCCATTTGTGAGTAGCTAATATCTGCCGAAGGGATGTTCGACTAATGCCACTCTCCAGTGACATGCGGCGAGTGCTACGCTGTGGGCTCTTGCTGAATGAAGCTAGGACAGCCACTGATGTTTCTTCATTAGTGACAGTTTTCTTGCGTCCACATTTTGGCAAATCCAACACTGAACCAGTTTCACGAAACTTAGCAAGCAGTTTGCTAACTGTAGCATGGGAGATGGGTGGTCTCGTAGGGTTACTGCATTCACCAGATATCAACACAATTTCGATCCGCTCCTCACGTGTTAACCTCTTCGACATGTCAATGGCTGTGAACAAAGAGAAACTTGTAAATAAGTCATGAAAGAATAAAGTTATGTTGAAACCAAGCACACCATTGTTTTTCTTGTGACATTACCAATAAGTTTGATGTGTCACATGGCCCTCTTCCTATTGAAAAAACTGTATCCAAGATGGCCGACTTCTAAATGGCCACCATGGTCACCACCCATCTTGAGGAGTTTGCCCCCTCACATATACTAATGTGCAACAAACAGGACTTTAATATCACCAACCATTCCCATGTTATTACGGTGTATCCATATAAATGGCCCACCCTGTAGTAGCCACATGAAAGGATGGTGGTATTCCTTTATTGCGAACAACTGCATGTCAATTTCACAGTCGATCAAGCAGTCCGACACTGGTCTCTCAATCTCCCGTTGGAGAGCCGTGAGCTTCTCCAAGATGTTATCCATTTTTTGCTCAGAGATCTTAGTCTGAGTGCTCACGCTAGCCTCAAGCTTCTCCAAGATCTTATCCGGGCTGCGTTTAATGAGCCCATTTTGAGAAGTCACGACTCGTCCGATCGCTTCAGTCACAGCGGGCAGCCTTGTGGGCTTTTGAACAGCCCATTCCGCTTTCTTTAATCTTCGATAAGCCAGGGCCAAGCCAGCTCCAATCAGCAAGAACCCTGTTATCATGATTCCGAAAAGGTAGATGTCTTCAATGTCCTCGATTGACAGTCCCGCCAGGCACACGTCCCTCCAGTTATGCCACCCGCCCATCGTGTATCAGGCAGGGGACGTCCCTCCAGGACACTCAGGCTCACCCGAGCCCCGGCTTCTCGTTGAGAAGAGTGTGTCAATTGCATTCAGGGACCAGTTGATCAAATCCATAATTCCTCTTTTAGGTTTTAGAGAACAGACTGTGAGAGTGTTTCAGGGCAACAGTAGAAAAGTAGGTGAGGCTAGACAAGGACACGAGAAGCCGGGAAAGGGAGAGGAGGAGAAAAGTGTGACCGCCTTCATCGAGAGAAAGAGGGACTTCTGGATGTCAGCCACTTCCTCTATCTGCAGCTCGGACGTCACCCAGACAAGGTCTGCATCAGGTGTTGAGGAACCAGGACATACTGATGAAAAGTGGAACAAGACAGCATAAGTGGGCAAGAGATGAAAATAGTGTACTGTTGGAATATCATCATGACTCCCACCCGAGGTTGGGTACCAAGCCCCAAGTGCGATGGAATAAGGATCAATGAGTGCAAGAAGAACTGACCTGAAAGATAAGATCCCTACCCTGCTGGGATAATAAGCTGGCCAAAGGAGGAGATAGAAGCCACTGACATTAAGACAAAGAAGCTCCTGACCATGCTTGGAGGGTTTCACCCCAAGTCCAGCACCCTGAGGCTGTATGTTAAGTAGAAGGAAGGAGGCTGGGGACTAGTGAGGGTCAGCACCAGGTCCAGGATGAAACAAAAACACGAGTACATCAGGAAGATGGCCACAACCAACCACGTGCTCAGTGAATACCTTAGGCAGCAGAAACCCAAGAAAGAAGATGAGCAAGAGGAGGAACCATCAATGAAGGACAGGCCCCTGCACGGTATGTACCACCGGCAGTCGCTGACATCCAGAACCAGTGGCTGGACTGAAAGAAAGCACAGAGGCACTAACCATGGCAGCACAGGAACAAGCTCTAAGTAAAAGATCCATAAAGGCTGGGGTCCATCACACCAGGCAAGATACCAGGTGCAGGCTGTGGAAATAAGCCCCTGAGAGAATCCAGCAGATAACAACAGCAGGGGACAGTAGAATGTCATAACCAAGTGACTGGCACAAATTACACATGGCCAATATGGCCTGCAAGTACTAAGGTCAAAATGGGACACGGGACAAAATCACCAAGCTAAGAAACTGTGAGTGTGTGTGTGTCTAAAAATGATGTGCCGGGAGTCTGCTGTTCTCGCCGGCTCTAGTGACCCTTGACCTCCCAGCTAGCTATCGAGCTGGTGGGTAACAGACGTCTCCGAAAACGTTGGAGCACTTTTGCAAATATGTGATGTCTTGATAAACCAAACAGATATTTGAAGTTTGCACAGCTACATTCTCACCTGAAAATATGTTAAAGTTTATTTTGTGACCCAGAAACAGTAATAAGAGTAATATTAAAACTAAGTAGCTGCCACCATTGTTGGAAATTGGACTTGGCCAGGCTGCACTATGAATTCTGGGATAGGTTGGGCCACGAAGGACACCCGCATTTCAACAAAGTAACTGTATTCTGAATACCACCTTTTAAAACGGTAACTGTAACGGAATACAGTAACTCATATTTTGTATTTTAAATACGTAAAGGCGGTACATGTATTCCGTTACTCCCCAACACTGGTGATCAGTAACCAATTGCTCTTTGTCTCCTAGCCATCCTGAACTTGGACAACACTGTAGTTGACCTGGAGACCCTGCAGGCCCTGTATGAAAATGTGAGCTTCACACTCAGTTTTTATTGTTTGCTTCTAGAGATCTGAGGCCCTTAAATCCTTATTGGTCCAATGTCTACAAAAGGCTGAATGTTGATTTCTTGTCTAGTAATGCAGCAATTAAACCAGACCAGGTCTGCAATGATGAACACTACCTGTCAAGGAAGACTGTGTATTTGGGACAGATTTTTCCAACATATTGTCAAATACACCAGGTAGTTCACTGTTCTGGGACACACCTTAATGTTATATTTACATTACTGCTTGTCAAATCTTTCAGATAATCTAATCCCATTGAAGGGCAGTTTATTATTCTACTTTTGTTCCGATCATAATCATTAATGTTACTAGATGTCCCAGTCATGATGAAACGAGAGCGGTAGTGAGGTGATGCAGAGTCAGATGTAAGTCAAAGTGGATGGATAGGCTCTAAAATAACTGTTAACATCCAACAGATAAGCTGTGAAAAAATGTTTATTTGGTATGTCAAATCGATTGATATTACATATATACCCCAAATAATGTTAACCTGATATTTATGTGTGTCTGTGCTTAAAACTAACCAAACAAATAGAAAAAGACTGCAGATGTGTATTTCCTGCTACCAGTTCAACAGTCAGCAGAAAAGATGTCTATGAGTTAAAACAGGGTGTATAAGTTTAAACTGAGTGCCTTCATGCATGTCATTCACATTTTATTATTATTATGCCAGAAGAGTTCACTGAGTATCAAACTTTTTTTCAAAAGAGTCTAGAGTCTAGTCATACATCCTTTTTTGTTTGTTTTAGATCTGCTCAGATGTTGCCTTAGTTTTATTTTCTATATAAATTCTAGAAGACATGGAGCCAGATCTCTTGTGTCTCTCCCACAGAGAGCACAACAGGAAGAATTGGACAAGATCGAAAAGCACATAAAGTCCACTAAAGACAAAGAGAATGCCAAGCCCCTGGACAAACCAGAACAGTGAGTGATTACTCTAACACTTCCACGATAATTAGCAGGTTTATTTCATGAGTTACAATCTCAGTGACTCAGGAAGAATTATGGTGAAGGCAGACTTTTTTTCATCAGAGCAGGTCATCTACTAATGACAAGGATGGTGGTTCAAATCCTATCTGCTCCAGTTTGTATGCCAAATATCCTTTGGCAAGATACTAACTCCAAGTTACTCTCTGATTAATCCACTGTGAGTGTGTGTGAATGTTACATAGAAAGCACATAAAAAAGTGCTTGTGTGAATGGGTGAATATGGCAAGTTGTGTAAAAGCGCTTTGAGTACTCAGATACAGTAGAAAAGCGCTATATAAAAACCAGTCTATTTACCATGTATACTACCACAGTTGATGTTAAATCAGATACTGAACACTGATTGAAGTGCTTTAAACATTAATTCATGGGATTTAGCAAAAAAACATCTTTTTAACTGATTGGGAATTAAGGTCATTTTTGTGTATAGTCCTCCATTCTGAGAGTGTTATGTGACGGCTGTGTGCAGGCAGGAAAAGGACCCAAAGTGCAGACTCCGGAGACAGACGTGAACTCAAAAAACAGCTTTAATGCTGAACTCAAAGTAACAAAC